AGGGTGCACACAAAACTGCAAAATGAGAATGAATCTTCTGCGAGAGGGCGGCAAGATTCATTCTCATTTTGCACAGCAGCAAAATCGATCTGCATGCCTTCTCTCTCTGTCTGTCTCTCTCTCTCTCTCTCTGTCTCTCTCTCTCTCTCTCTCTCACACACACACACACACACACACACAGAGCGTGGACACAAAACTGCAAAATGAGAATGAATCTTCCACGAGAGGGCGGCAAGATTCATTCTCATTTTGCACAGCGGCAAGATCTATCTGCGCGCCCTCTCTCTCTCTCTCTCGCTCGCTCTCTCACACACACACACACACACACACACACACGCACGCTCACCTTCGCACGGCAGCAACTCCAACAAGCGAAGGTGAAGAGACTGACTGCTGCATCATTTTCGGTGGCCTGCTGCAAGGGCGTCACAGAAAGATGCATGCCCCTTGTGAGGGCATTTCGAGGAGGTAGCGACGAAACGCCATCCGCGGTCCGGTAAGGGCATAGCGGAACGTTGTGCCCCATGCTGACAGGGGCCTGCAGAAAACTTCAGAGGCCCCAGGGGCACGACAGAGTAAGTCGGCGTTCAGAGGGGCACGCAGCAAATAGATGGAAAGTTCAGGGGCATCTCGAAAAGTTTCCCTCTTATTAAATATCCTACCGTTTGGCACCGTTGCAGAAACTGCTCCTCCGTTTTGGTAAGCTGCTCCTCCGTTTGGATCCGGCTCGTAGGCTGCGCAGCTGAGGCCTCTGCGCGATCGCTCCTATTGCCGCCAATACGGAGCAATTCTCTCTCTTCAGTCCCCCTGTCATTCTCGCCAATGGAACGAGTCCTGTCTTCTTCCAGATCAGGTCCTCTACTTCTCTTGCCCCTCCTGTCCTTATTACCCGCCACGTCAGAGTCAGCGCGGGGGACTTTCTCGATGCTGACGTGGATATGTGTACGGTCTCGCGCGAGTATCCATGCGCCTCCTACTTGTCCAATTCGGGGCGACCCGTGGCCACCTCCCTCCTCCTCCTCCTTCTCCCCCTCCTCCGCCTCCTCCCCTTCCTCCTCTCTCATCCGCTTGACACGCCCGCTTGTAACACCGACACCCAGGGGCAGCTCGTGAAGATTGCCGCCTTGCATTGGGATCGAGAGCCCTTGCTCCGCCATCCCGACGAGGCTCCCAGCGATCTGGACTGCGCGGAACAGACCCTGCGAATTCCCGCCGTCTTCCTCACTTCCGTAATCAAATTCCACCTTGTGGACAACTTCCACCTTTTCTCGCACGATGGCCGTTATCGTCTCTCCGTCAGTGATCATATCTTGCCCTTGGCGCGCAATGACAAGAAGCCGGTCTTCTACTCCTCCGTCTCCTCCTATGGTGGTGGTGTCGGACAGCATGCCACGTGTCGCGCTGCAGATGGCCGTTGCAGATGCTGCAGCTGCAGTGTGCGGCAGAAGCAGACCCCTGCTCGTGCCCTGATGGCCGAATCTTATCCTGCCATGATCTTTGTACGCCCTCGTGAAAGAAGATTGAGGATAAAGTTGGTCGTATAGCGCCGTCTCCTCCCCCGTCGGATCGCCATCGCCACCAGCCTCGATCGTACGGTCGGGATCTTGTGCCTGCGACTCATCGACTGCATACGCCAGACGATTGCCACGTGGCGATCCACGTGGCGATCTGCTGCTTCCGCTGGAAACACTTGCGGCTTGTGGGTGCAACCACCCTCCACTCCGTTGATTACCCTCCTCCGACGTGTCGCCAGCAGGATTTGCCGCTCTCGACGCATCTTGCGCCCCAGCGCTGCCGGATTGACTTGTTGATGTCAACGGATTAGATTGCTGCCAATCACTATTAGCGTTAGCGGCGGCGGCAGTCGACGGGGGCAGCGGAGTGGTAGAGAGGTGGTGTTGTTGACTAGCTGATGACGACAACAGATGAGACTCTTGAGTAGTGGTTGATGACAATGAGAACTGAATGCCACAGATCAAGGATGGAGACTGATTGACGCTTGGGGGCGGGAGGGGGTGGTAGTGAGGTTCCTCCGTCATCAGTACCACCAGCGGCGGCGGCGGCGGCGGTGCTTGGTCGTCTGTGGGCCTAGATGGATAGGATGATGGCCCACGTGGAAGAAGCTGATTATCACTGTCCGTCGTGGCATGATAAGAGGGCGCCGGGTGTCCGCGCGCTCGCGGCGCCCCCCCCCCCCCCCCCCCCCTCCAGTGACCGCCGGTATCCCGACTATCCATGGCTGTCACTCCTTCTCTACCGCGACCCCGACCACCGACTCGACGTGTACTGCTCCCACGTCCACCGCCCCGCCTCCTCCCTACGCCTTCCTCTTCTTCTTCTGGATCACCTCCTCCTCCTCCCAGTCCTCTCCATCCTCCTCCTCCTCCCATCATTCTCATCACAGTTCGACTACCACTCGTAATCACCACCACCTCCTCCTCTGCTTCTGACTGTGAAGCTCCTCCTCCTTCGCTGTCTGTACGAGGTGTGACATTGGCGCTTTTATCCCTGCTGTTCACTGTCACCGGCATCAGGTTGAGAGAACCCACCCCCTCCCTCTCCCAAGATTCATCCCCGTTTGCCACAATCGCGTTCGCAATCTCGTTTAGATTCGCCGCCGTTTTGTCGGAGATCTCGTTGTGCCCACGGTTGACAGCAGGACTACCGCCCGGAGATGCGTTCACAATGGAACTGGTTAATTGTTGCTGTTGCTGGTTATAATAGGAATCAGGACGCCCTTCTGAGAAAGGTACAGACACGTCAGAATCCAATCCAACGGCTACATGCCGCTGGATTTCCTCCTCCGCCTCCTCATCATCTGGAGACTCTGACAGATACTGCTGAGCTGCAGCTTGAAACTGCTGTCTGACCTTTGCTCTGGCCTGCATTGAATCTTCCGCATCATTTCCGATAACCGCTTTTTCCCTCCATAACTCCCCCTCCTTCTTCCCCTCCTCCTCCTCCTCCTGCTGCTGCTGCTGCATGATTACCTCCTTTTTCCCGCCGTTTTTTTCTTCTATCCAAGTATCGAGAGATCCACGTGGCGGTTGAAGCGCGGTAGTCTTGAGATTGCCCAGCAGCAGAATCCCCTCCTGCGGATTCTCGCCGCCTCCTCCGTTGTAGCGCCATCGTTGTCTGTCTCCGTCGCTCACGTCAAATTGTGTCCTTATCCTCTCTTGCGTATCCGCATCGCTATCCATGTCAGAATACTCCTCCTCTCCATGGGTCACGTAACGAAGCTGATCGTCCATGCCAGCAAGCCCAGCCGCGGGGACAGAAGTGGCTGCTAACTGGTGCTCGTTTCCCTGATACTTCGTTGAAGTATCACTGAAGAGAGTAGTGGAATGGGCAGTCGCAGCATCCACCGTTTTCTTCCACGTGGCATCCGCTCCGTAGGCTTCGAGATTCAGAAGAAGGTCATACGTCTCCGGAGGTCGGCGACCGCTCAAGCCCTCCACCTCCTCCTCCTCCTCCTCCTCCTCGTCGTCGGCGCTCGACGAATCCAAAGCCGCCATCGTGTGCCACGTGTCAATCGATCCGGCAATGCTGCTGCCGATCCCGACGTTCTTTGTTATCTCATCTGCTGAGTCAGCAATCATGTCTCCCCTACTACTATCACCACCACTTCCTCCTCCTCGTCCTCTTCCTCCTCCTCCTCCTCCTCCTCCTATTCCTCTTCCTCCTCCTCCTCCCTCTTCCAATACTTTACCAGACTCACTTCCCCCAGTTTGACTCCCCGACAGACTTCCGCCTCTGTACTCGACGAACACGTGACCTCTTGCACTCCTTGGGGACCCGTGCGATGATGACGGTACCTGCTGGTTATAGGATGCTAACCCTATTCCCTTCAGACTGGTTCGACTCGCTCGTCGTCTTGCCACGTGGACAACAGGATTATCCTGATCCTTATCCTTATCCTTATCCTTATTTTTATTATCCTTATCCTTAACCAACAACACATCTCGACCAACGATTCCATAGCCAATCCTTTCAGACCTAATTACTTGAGACGCTGCTGTTATTTGAACGGTGACCGTGGCGCGATTTTCATAATCAGAAGCCTGTGCCTCTTCGCCGCCATAGCTCTCTCTCTTCGTCCTTTCTCCTTGAGTAGTCGTCGTCCATCCCCAACCCCCTTCATATCCACCACCTCCCTCTCCCAATTGCACCTCCCCCGTCTTTTTCTCTCCCCCCCCTCGCACCCCTGCTTGTTGTGAAACGACCTTTCTTTCATCCAGATTGGACGGAGGACGGCTACCAGGCATCGATCCCAACGTCGCTGCCGATCTCCCCCCATCCGGATCCGGATGATTTCGTCCAGATACAGATGCACCACCACCACGACCACTACCACCCCCAGGAGGAGGAGGAGGAGGAGGAGGAGGAGAAGAAGGGAGGGTGAGGGTGGGATTAATACCCTTCCGATTATAATCATCCTTGACTTTTGCAGAGTGACCATCTCTGAAGCGGGTAGCCGCGGGAAGGCTTTGACGCCTCTTCAAACCTTGAGAGGACGCGGCCCTACGAACAAGCTGTGCCCTACCCGCTCCCCGTCCTCCTCTTCCTCTTCCTCCTCCTCCTCCTCCTCCTCCTCCCCCTCCTCCTCCTCTTCCTACTCCTCCTCCTCCTCCCCCCCTCCGGCTTGTCTCCCAGCTACTGGTGCTGCTGCTGCCAATAGATCGATGGCTTCTTGATGTCATCCCGCCCCCTCCATCCCTGAGCACTCGCGAATTCCCGCCAATTCTCCGCTCGGCGCGCTCTCCAGTCCAATCCACTAGGATAAGATCTTTCTGGAACGGATTTAAGGGGTCTCGCTTCGACCTGGGGGACGATCTTCCCACTCCTCTTCGTAAGTAATCCCATGGTCTGCCGATTGAGTGAGCAGTGAATCGTCTCCCTTCTTGCCACGTGTCGGGATTAGGCCATGCCTCTTGGGCTTGAACCGTCCACGCGTCAGGCTCTCTGTGAGTGAATGAAAGGGCATCTGATGGGGCGAGCCTCTCTAGCTGCTTCTTGCGAGTTACGCCTCCTCCTCCTCCTCCTCCTTCTCCTCCCAACGACTTGGATAGCGCGATTATTCCCCCCTTTGACGACGTATCGTGGATTGGAATCGTTGAACCAATCTCGTCCGTTGATTGGGCTTGATCTTGATTGTCGTCCCCTTGAGAGACCCGTCTTTCCAATTGGTCCCGTCTGCAGCACCATCAGTCAAAGTTTACAGTTTTATTATTTATTTAAGGAGTTATTATTACTTATTTAGTAAATGTTATTATTAATTATTATCATTCTATATCTATTATTTATTTAATAAATGTCCTTTTTTCCTTACCCTTTTTTTGTTTTTTAAGGTTGATGGCCTAATGTTATTATTAATTATTATCATTCTATTATTTATTTAATAAATGTCCTTTTTTTTTCCTTTTTTTTTTTTTTTTTAAGGGTGATGGCCCAATGTTATTATTAATTATTATCATTCTATGATTTATTTAATAAATGCCCTTTTTTTTTACACCTTTTTTTTTTTTTTTTTTTTTAAAGGGTGATGACCTTGAGATATCATCATCGAGTCGACCAACCCCCCAGGTAATTCAAAATTATTTTAATGAATTCATCTAGGTCCATCAGGATTCGAACTTGGGTCTCTATTTTTTGAACAGCACATTGGTGTACCAACTGAGCGAGGCTCATTGGTATTTCTTTAGTAAATGTCATTCTATTATTTTCATTGAATTTATGTATATGTTTATTCAAGAAAAAAAGTAATTCATATATAGTTTTTGTTCATTGTTAGTTTATTTAGCAAATGTTATTAATAAGTATCCTGTTGATTTCCTTATTTATTATTTTATTATTATTCAAGAAATTATTTTGTATAATAATATTAACTGTCACACTGGCTACCAGCGGGGCCGCCCGGGTCCCGGGTGGCCAGCCCGTGCAAGGAGCAGGGAAGGTCCCAGCAAAAAAAAACAAATTTTCACTAATTAGTGGAATCTATGACCAACATGGGTGTGAGTGCGAGAGCGAGTGGGTTGTGTGGTGTGTGGGAGAGTGTTGGCCATAGCTACTGCTGCTACTCGATGAGGGGTGGGGGATGATGAGAAAAAGGGAGGTGCAGCTACTGGCAGGTCTCGGTCTTTGTGTTAGCCAGACCCCCACTGGCGGCCCCAACCCTATACCCTAAACATTAGGGGCAAGGGGCAACATGAAATCTCCCTTTCACAGTGAGAGGAAACTATGCTTGCAGGGGTCCCCTCTAGATAGCCTTAGGAGTAGGTAGTGAAAGGCAAAAACAGAAGTTGAGAGAAGAATATAGAAAAAATAATAATAATAATAATAAAAAAAGAATTCAAAAAAAAAACAAAACTATGTTATGCAGAAAAATAAACTGAACAACTTTTGCCTCAGGGGTCACAAAGGAATTCTTCACCAAATTTAAAATAAAAAAAAAACAAACAAACATTTTTTATATATATATTTTTATATTTTTTTGGCCCGGCAAGTGAACCCGGGCCACTCTGCTAGCCTCGCTGTCACGTCAATTATTATTTTAATTTTTTTTTTTTTTATTATTGTTTTCATATGTGAGTGCAGACATTGTGGAGTGTGAAATAGAATATCATCATCCCATGTAGTTAGGCCATTCATGGCTAGCCCTTACAGGCTGGTAGTTTTTCTTTGTGCCTTGGGGGGCATGCTTGTTTTCCTCCTTTCTTTCCTTTTTGCAACTTGGGCCTTTTAGTACTGGGGGGCCCGGGAATATATGTATAATCGTATAATAATTTCTTATTTATAGAATTAGTCAGTCATTTAAGAAAATATGATACTATACATGAAATAGACTTGATAAAAATGACCTAGTATCTATCTAATTCTGAATCTATCTTTCTTTTCAAAGTGATTTTGAATAATAGATTAAAAGTGGTCCAGTTGCCGACGAACGAGTAAACTTTCTTTTCAAAGTGATTTTGAAAAAGTTTACTGGTTCGTCGGCAGCTGGACGCCTGTGGTCAGGGATGGGGTTAGCTGGAAGTGCCTTTCTCAGCCTCGTGTGGCTTCAGCATTCATGTGACGTACGCCATGCCCGTTTCCGTCTATAATTTAAAGTTGGGCTAAAAAAAGAAAAAAGAAAAAAAACGGGGGGGGAAAAAGTTAACAGTGGAAACAGACACATGTACCTGGGTTGTGGCTCAAAGGTACACACATCACATGCGATTGTCAATGAACAGATCATGCGTTCAAATTCTGCTGACAAACGTAGACAGAGTGGCTGGTGACCAGGGTGGTGGTCGCACTAGCAAAGGGGATAGAATAGAAATCCTGAATCTGGCTATGTTTTATGCAGAGATACAGAAAAGAAGTTCTATCTCGATTTCCTGCTCCTGTTCTCAAACACGTCCAGATTCAGGCATTCAATCCTATGCTCTTTGCTAATGGGACCACGGCCCAGACCTCATTTGCCCTAAGTTCCATTTTTCTTCCCTTTTTTAAGTAAACGGAAGGAAGGTATTCTCCATTTTTCATTTTTTTTCCTTTGCTTTTTTAAATAAAAATAAAGAAGGTTTTATACGGTAGTATTATTATATGCCTGAAGCATCCATAACTTCCATTTTTCTTCCCTTTTTAAATAAACTGAAGGAAGGTATTATCCATTTTTCATGTTGTTTCTGTGCTTTTTAAAATAAAAATAAAGAAGGTTTTATACGATACTATTATTATATGCCTGAAGCATCCGTATGTTTTTTTTTTTTTTCTTTCATCCGTATGTTCAAACAGTAGTGAAGAAAGAAAGGGGGGAAAAAATGGAGGAAAAGAAAGAGTCAAAATCTCATCCAATGGCATAACTCAGTTGGCACCCCCCTTTAACTTTTTAATTTGAAATACAGGCCCCGAGTCGAACTCCACCCACATGAACAGAGTAGAGACTAATTCCAAATTACTAAATTAGTAAATTATCGTGGGGCCGACCAGCTCAAGGATGATATCGCAAGGTCGTCGCCCTTTTAGGAAAAGAGTGAAAATATAATCCAATACATTTGACCTGTGACCTCCTTCCTTCTAATCCAATACATTTGACCTGTGACCTCCTTCCTTCCCCCCCCCCCCCCCCAACCACCTTCTCGGAATAAAAATGTCAATACAGCTGTATCTGGCCTAGAAGTTGTCCTCCATACAGCTGGAATCACCTTACCATGCCTTCAGATCAGTGGAAGATACCTGTGCTTTCCAAACCTCTCTTTTCTTAGGCGAAAACCCCTTTTTTTTTTTTTTTTTTTTTTTTTGAAGTACACCCACACACAGCCCCAATCTATTCTGGGGGGTACCTGTCCAGTTGCTTATTACCAGCAAGCAAGTTTATGTCATAGCTGTAAACCCCTAAACCCCTAAAACCATAAAACCCTTATCCCCTAAACCCTAATCACTAAGAGCACATTTCTTAAGGTGCTAGGAATTCACAGCTCCCCCCCCCCCGCCCCCAGCTGAACTTCGATCAGTTCTCGATTTGTCCGTGCCATCTCATTCTGTGTGGGCCATGCTACTAAATGTTCACCAACTATGTGAATGTCATAGCCATAAACCCCAGAACCCAGAACCCCTCATCCCCCCCTGAAAAACACTAAACCCTACCCCCCCTTCCGCCCTCCCTAGACGCCAAATCCCCCTAAACCCTCTCTCTCGGCAATTATCCAAGCTCTAGTGTCGCATACCGTAACGATACAGACCAGAACAAGAACCGACCTCTCTCACAAAGTGCAAGATAACACAGCGGAAGGCTTAAATTCCAATGATCCGAACAATCAATGTTGCCATGCAGACCAAACATACATCATCATCATTCCATGGTGTGGAGGGGCCTGGCCCTCACACAGGAAGAATGCGCCAGTCCCCAACCATACACAGACGAAGAAGAGGGGGGTTAGACGAAGAAGAGGGGAAGATGGGAATGTCGTCAACACCAAGTCTTCGGTACAGTCCCAAATAATCCCTCGTCAAATGTCTGAATCCCAATGTCGAGTCTGGATCCAAATGTTGTCAAATCCCAAAGGCACCAATCTCTCTCTCTCTCTCTCTCTCTCTCTCTCTCTCTCTCTCGTAGTCTGCAGATACTGAGAAGTCAGGTAGCGAGAGGGTGAGGAAGAGATGGTGGACTTAGAAGAG